TCGTCCGGTCTGTTCATTGTTCAGCTGTAGGTTCCATGCCATTTCCATTCCATGATGAGAAAGCTGTTGCCTTCTCCCCAGCTCCGTCAGAACTGCCCTCACTGAGCCTTGTTCCCAGAAACTAGGACTCCAACTCCAGACGACATGTGAAGTTCCAGGAAAATTCAGCCCCAGCTAGGAGGCCATGACCAAACGCAGCTCCAAGCCGAGGTACCGAGATGCTTTGTTAGCTGTCAAATCCCTCCAGCAAGCTCTGGCCTCCAGGGCACCCCGGTGAAACCAGAAGAATTTTTCAATCTGTTTATCAACATGGCAGCCACGTCTTCTTTCAGCAGTCAGCAGCAAACAAAGGGACCTGATTGGTATCCTGAGAATTCTAATAACCAGTTTGGTGGAGGGAGGAGGTAAAAGATAGAGCCATGTGATTGGCCTCTGGCCCTTGCCAGCTGTGGATGGCTGTTTCTTTCTTCTTTCTTCCCCTTCCCTGTGGTGGTTTTTTAATAAGTGGAGCACAGAGAAGGAGAATCCTTTCGAGGAGACTTGATGTGTGATGAATTGTTGTGACTTTTTATAGGGTGTCAAGGAAACACATACTCCTAGGATGAGTGGGCATTTTGTGTCTGTCCAGAGAAGCATTGATCATGCTGCGGAGGGCCCAGCCTCATGCTTGGTTTAACCAGAGAAGGGGGGAGAATAAGATGGCCTTTGGGATCAGTGAGCAACTTGTCATAGCCCAAACCCCGCCATCTTCGAATAGGAATTTGAGCTAGCGGCTGGCCCTACTTTATTCCCCACGTATGTGGTCTGTGATCCAGTCCTCCCGGCCCCTTGCTGCTCATCACACTCAGCACTCATCTCCAAACTCCAGGCCTTTTCCCTGGCTCTCTCCCACGTGTAGAATGCCCTCCCTCCACGTTTGCATCTCTTGGCTTCCTTCGAGTCCCAGCCAAAATTCCACCTTTTGCAAGAAGCCTTCCCACCCAGATTATCTCCTGTTACTATCTTGTTTGCACTTAGTTGTTTGCGTGTTGTCTCCACCTTTACATTGTGGGCTGCTTGGATTGGGGGGTGGGGGAGCATTCTTTGTATTCCCAGTATTTAGCACAGGGCTTGATATATAGTAGGTGTTTATTGATGTCACTTGGCCACAGACAAATGGGCTGAATGAAACCCTGAGTGAGAGGTGTGGTAACTTGTCTTCTGGTGGTTTTCTTCCCAAGGGTTGAGGGAATAGAAGGAAGCCTGGTAAGAGTAGCCCAGTGGACTCACTTTTGGCTTGAGGCTGTTGTAAAGCCAGTTCTTGCTTTCCGGTTTGCTGGTACAGGAACAAGCCTAGAGCAAGGAGAGGCCTTCTCTCAGCACATCACCAGGGTCTGGAGCATGTCCTCTTCTCATTGATCACTCTGGCCAGCTCCTCTTGCCTTTTTCCTGGGCCTCCTCAGTGGTCCAGCCTCTGCTGTGCCCTGAACCCTGCTTGACCACGGTTGGATGGAGTTAGAGGAAACTTTGATATCCTCTAGGCCAAGCTTCCTCCCAAAGTAAAAATCCCCTCTCCAGCATCTGTGAGAGATGGTCATTGCACGTCGGTCATCCACCACATGGGAACCCTTCTGTTATGTGCTCTCACACACACAGCCCGGCTGTGCCGGCATCCCATGTCATGGGTGTGAGATGGAAGGGTGGCATGCTGAGCATCTCTTGCCTTGGTGACAGCTTCAGCTGTTGGGTCTTATCACAGAAGCAGCAGCAGCTGCAGGTCACACATGTGTTTGACCAGTTGTCCCCTCCAAGCTCTCTTGCCCCTTCCTCGTTAGTTCAGTGCTCACAAACATTCCTAACCCATAATCTCGCAGAGAGAACTCTGTGCAGAATGGAGCTTATTTGTTCCCTTAAAGATCTGAGGAAGCTTTAGGAAGATATCAAACTGCCTTTCTTCCTAAAAGCCAGGCTCTTCGCCCTGACCTCAGACTTCTTGCTGCTGCGCTCTGGGTCACTCTGCCCTGGCTGTTTCCTGCCTCTGACATCCATCTGCTTTCTCACTTCATTGCAGCAAATATTTAGGAAGCAGCTACTATGTGTAAGATACTGCACTAGGAGCTGAGCGTGCAAAGATAAAAACAAACCAGTGTCTGTCCTCAAGGAGGGATTGAGAAAGCACAAGAGCTGGGGAAAAGGAGGGAATCAGAATCACCTGCTCTGTGGGAGTTTGGCTGTGGAGGAGAGCAGAGCCACGGGGTGATGACTTGACTGAAAGCCTGCGTCAGGGGAGGGGAAGGAGACCAGGGCGTGTTCCTAGGGAAGGAGCCAGTGGAAAGGCGATTCAGGGTGAAAAGAGAGAGCAGTCCAGGAGAGAAGCTCCCAGCGAAGACGGCGGCATGGGGCGGGGGGGGTGGAGAGCGGTGCAGGCACTGGGCTTGGCCACAGGAAGCTCCGTCTCTCCATCAGCCACAAGTGGAAAGGATCCTGGGAGCAGGGAAGAAGGGGAAGCCCTCAGCAGCTTTGGTTTTCTCAGTAAAGGGGTAAAGCATGCCCGGAAGAAAACCTCCTGCTACGTTGGTGCTCATCTCTTCCGGTACCAAACCCACCAGACCCCAGCTGTGTGGAGGCTTGTGATCCACAGTGGCTTAGTGCTTCCTTTGCAGTAAGCATCCTGCTGCCTCCAATGCCTAGAGGCGCCTGTGACACGGCCTGGGCTTGTCAGTAGTCATGGGCGCCTTCTCACTCTTTAGAGACAGTGGATATGAGTGGTTACCAATGATAATGGGCCTTCTAAGTTTGGAAGTCCTGATAATTCAAAACTTTCTGCTTTTCTATGCATACCTTTGATCTCCTAACACTTAGGGCAAATTGTTGGGGTGGGCTAGGTAGAGGTAGGCATTGTGCCAGCAGCAGAGTCTCAGAACCCCTTCTGGTGGTAAACTCCGGGCATTTCATCGCCATACTCTTGATTTTCTGTGCTCAGTTTCTTCCCTCTTCTCCTGGGTGCATAGCAGAGGATTGGGATGGGATCAAGGCAGCCTGTCTGATGTTTGCTGCTTGGTGGTTTGGGTCCTGGGGATGTTACCCTATTTCTCCATTACCAAACGCTCTAGGATTTTCCTAGTGCCACCAAAAAAAAAACAAACAAACAAACAAACAACCTCCCCAACTAATCAAAACCAGGCTGACAACAAGGCTAGGGCTTGTATTCAGATGGAGACTCTGGCAAAGTTGGATGCTGCTCAGCAGCATGATGGAGGCTGTTTTGGGCTAATGTTTTCTCAGTTTAGCACGGTGTGAAGATGGAGAAAGAGAAGCCCTGCAGATTTGCGAGGGTTGTGTCATTGTCAGCTGCAGGGCCGCCATGCATCAGAGGCAGCTTTGGCTCAGCCCCTCCAGCCCCATCTCCAAGAAGCCTCTTCACTCAGAGCTGAGTTTTAGTCTATAGATTCGTCAGGGGTGGGGAACCTTCGACCTCGAGGCCACATGTAGCCCTCTTAATAAAAGGATTTGTTCTGTGAAGTTTGAATTCAGTCAAAGGGCTGCACTTGAGGACCTAGAGGGCCACATTAAACCCTAGTCTGGAAACATAGAGTGCTGAGCAGGGCCAATCCAAGGTGCTTCCGTGTGGGACATTGGGGGCTTTTTAGCTCCCCTATGCTATTAAACAGAGCAGATTGGGAGAGGAGAGAGAAAGCCCTTAGCAGCCGCTTCCTGAGCCTCATTATTTCTACTCCATCATCTGTTCCTGTGGGACTTTGGGAAAGTTCCTTTTCTAAGCACCTGGAGGGCAGAGACCCTGCCTTTCTTTGTATCATCCTTACTTAACATAGTTCCTGACATCCAGTAAATGTTTAATAAATGCTTGTTGACTTGTTGGCTTTTTTTTAATGTTCTGCTGTATTAGAAATAACATTAAGCACCAATACAAATAATGATTGGTGCTTTAAAACTACTGCATTTAAAATTGCCCTGACTTCCTCCCCCAGGATTCTCTGGACACTCTCCTTCATTTTTCCTAATGTGATCAGTTAGATGCTCCATTTTTTGGGTTTTGTTTTGCTTGGTTTTGTTTTCAGTGATGTCACAAAGATCTTTCCAGATTTCTTTATAACCCACATACTAGTTCATCTTCTTTCCTTTTTTCCCATCCTCTCTCTTTCTGAGGGGCATAGAGATCAGTTGTTCTCCAGTTTATCTTGTGACGTCTGCTTTGGACATCTACCTTCTCCACATGCCTTTTCTCTAATATTTATCTGGCCAGTAGTGGGTTTGCTTCCTATCTTTAGCCCCCATCCCCAGTTCCCTGCAATGGTTCTTACTCCTCTCCTTCCCACTGAGAAGCTTTCCTTCAGATGTAAGTAGTCGTGTGACCTCTCTCTCTCTCTCTCTCTCTCTCTCTCTCTCTCTCTCTCTCTCTC